GCGTCGGATGGCCTCTCCGTTGTTGTCGGTAACATCAACTCTATTTCGTCGGGCACCTGGTATTTTTTTCGTATACCCTCTAACTCCTCCGCCGTAACGGTTGACTTGTCAACCTTCGTATGCCAGTGATCTGGCTCAGCCTGGTTGATTGGCTTCGGAGCCGCCATCAATGTCAACGAACGCAGCGGTCCTGCCGGCCCCCCTACTCTCTCCACTTGCCTCTCCATCCTATACTGTTCCGCCAACTCCACCCCATCATCGTCCCATAGTGGATCAACCCTGCCAGTTCTAGCTTCTTCCTGGGCCATTTTTGTCGTGTGTCTGTGAATGGCTTCGGATGCAAGCGCAAGAAAGTTCAAAAAATGTCGCAAGGGTGTATCACTTGCAACGAAGGAGTCTACACTTGGAATGTTTTGATTTTTCGAAAAAAGGTACGTAAAACGTATAATCCCAAATGCCCAAGGCTTGCCTGTATTCCAGGGGTCACAATTAATTGCCGTCAGTTTGAAAAAATTTCAACCATCTGCCAAAACTGTCTTTTCAATACCCATTATGACCTATCGTTTCACCTCTAGCCCAACGCCTAACCTCCCCACCACGAGATGATGCCACGTATACGACCACGATTCACTGCACTTTTCCCCTACCCTGTCTTTTTCACTTCAAGTCACCACGTGACCCGCCGCCTCTCGAGCCCTGCCCCTGCCACTTCCCCCTTCGCGGTCGGCCCACCTCATGGTCGGTCCTTCCACTCGGTTACCCCTCACGGTCGGCCCTCCTCATGGTCGGCCACTCTACTCGGTTACCCTTTGCGGTCGGCCCTCTTCATGGTCGGCCACTCCTCTCGGCTACCCTTCGTGGTTGGCCCCCCTCGCGGTCGGTCACCTCATTCGGCTACCCTTCGGGGTCGGCCCCCCTCATGGTCGATCCCTCCACTCGGCTACCCTTCGCCGTCGACCCTCCTCGTGGTCGGTCCCTCCACTCAGCGACCCCCCACGGTCGGCTCTCCTCCTGAGCGGCCCCTATGCTCGATCACTCCTATCGGTCGGCCCCCCTCCTGCAGATCTCTAACCACCCTCATTTTCTTTATTATTCCCTTCGTTGGACTAAAGCTACACTCGGGAATAGGGGACTACTGACATGGGTAGGCCCATAAAGGCTACAACCCACCATGAACAACTCAAGCCCATCACTTAGGGCCCAATACATAACCCAACTGATAAGGCGCAGCACCATCTGGAAGTCAACAGGGCATGAAGGACCAATGATATTCAGACACATGGCAGGTAAAGGGCAAGCCACATCAGCAAACAAAGATCTGCAAAGTTATTGCCATTGCACATCGCCATTAATGCAGCCCCTCACTGCATTTATTACGACAATACCTCTCCGTCGGGACAGCCCGCCCTCACCCTGAGCAAGGTAAGCTACAGCATAGACTTTTGGCCAAGGTGACAGGTCGGAAGGGACAACGAAATGATTACCAAAGGATATAAGCAAACGTTGAAGACAAAAAGAAGGTTAAGTTTTTCTATCTCTAATCTATCTACATACTTCTCTCTCTCTCTCTAACTTGTTCGTCGGAGGGTTCGCTGGGGGACTCCCCGTTCCCCGTTGAACGCTTGTGCAGGTTCTCTGGTGGGCTTGGTCATTCGGACATTAGGCTTGAAGAGCGTGGATCAGTCCAACCTGTCCTACCATCATTACTGTATCATCAAAGGTAGAGTTGGATACATATTATTACCCCTATTTTGAGATTTTGGAAAAGTGTATCTTTGATGAAATTTATGTACTTATTTAGAAATATCTGTTTTGGACTATGGGTAGAAGATAGCTATAATTGTTGTAGAAATTGCATGAGAATTAGGTGAATTGAAACTAATTTTCTCATCCATTTATATTGAGCCTTGTCAAATCTTAAATACATTGCACATGTATGATGTTTGGGAGAAGAAATGGATTGTACTCCATCTTTGAGAAGAGAAAGGGAATGTACTCTGTTGAATTAAATTAGCCGGGGTGTCGAGAGTGAAAGTCTCGAAAACTATGAATATACATGGGTGCCGATTCCCACGGACGAAATATCCGTAAAATGGCAAACGAAAGTGCTTTGTATGATGATTGTATTGATTAGAGACCCACTAAGTTATATCATTAGCTTGGTTGTCTGAATAGAATGGAAAGGACTCATAAATTGAGATAACATGGATTAAACTTGAGTTCAACATAACATGATTTTGTACCGGAGTTATAAATGATTTTATCACGGGCATTGTATGTGCTTAATCTTTGTTAAGATCCCTATATTGTGTTACATTATCTTTACTAGGCTTTGGCTCACCCTATGTAGGAAAAACAATTTCAGATGCTAATGATATGCCTCCGCCAAAACACTAGTTTGGGAGGATCTGGAGCAAGAGCTTCTTTTTTTTGTTTGTTATGTGTAGCCAAGGGCTTAACTGTAATGGACTTAAAGTCCATTTTTGTTGTAACCAAGCCTCATCTTGGAAATATGTAAGCCCTCCGAGGATTTGGAGCAAGATTTTTTTTTTTTTGTTATGTATAGCCAAGGGCTTAACTATAATGGACTTAAAGTCCACTTTTGTTGTAACCAAGTCTCATTTTGGAAATATGTAAGCCCTCCGAGCATTTTTATCTGTTAATCTTCCTTCCCCTCCTTTAATTGGCAACATATGCTATAGATTCAGGGCTAGGCTTTATAAATGTATGATGCATATGTTTCTCTTTTGTATATCATATTAAATTAATGGAAGATGACCTTATTATTGTTGTTGTCATATATTGGATATTATGGATGGATTATTGTAATTATTTTAGGACGTTACAGTTTGAAGATAATAACTTAGTGAAAATTTCATTATTTTTTTTCTTTAGAATTTCATATTTATCATAGATCTTATTTGACATATCTTGATAAGAGAATTCTACAGATCTTGATGAAAGAATTCTACAAATAAAAATTTTATGCAAAATGAAGGTCTAAGTAAAAAGTTATTGAATTTTAAATTTTTGAAATATATTACAAAAATGAAAAGGAAGTTTGCTGGATGTATTTAACTATTTCATGTAATAGGGTGTTTTTGTTCAAAAAATTGTAGCATGCTATAATAGTAAAAACTTATGATAAAGAGCTGGAAATAAAATTTCCAAAATTATAAGATTCTACTTTAAATACAAATTAAAATAAAATAAAAAATTATCACTAATAATAATTTATGTTGAAAAATTTTAAAATTATTAAAAAAATAATTAATTTGATATAATAGATCTACTATGCTAACATAAATTGTTATATGGTATTTATTAATATTAGTTATTAATGAAAATTAATAAAATCACTAATAGTAATACTGATTTAAGAGGAAATCAAATTTTCATTTCTCCCTCCAAGCAATTTAATTTAAATAATAAATTAAATTCACTAACTTCAAATTTAGATAGACAATTTTCAAATCTCCCTCTAAAACATTTTAATTCAAACACTTTAAAGAAAAACCTTATTATATGAGAAGTTTGGAAAATGATTGAGAGCCCTAAAAAAGTTGCCCCTAATACCCCTAATTTCCAATTTTGGAAACTGTTTTTTTTTTTTCTTTCTTTTTTCTTTTTTTTTTTTCTTTCTTTTTACCCGAAATGGAATTTCGAGCCATTCGGGGCTCTCCATTTCGGGCCCTCAATCACCGCCCAATATATCAAATCACAACTGATTAATTTCATCACTCAATTTTATTGTACTTGACAATTAAATATAATAATGTTTTTTTTTTATTATTTTAAGTGATGGGTTTGGCTCAACGAGCTAATCCGATTGATACGTGTAACTTTAATTTGTATAGTCAAATCCCAATAATACAACACAAAAATTCAATAGTCTTAAAAAAAAAAAAAAAGATTTAAATTTGTTATAAAAGTAATTACTTATAATTAGAATTCTTATTTTCTTACAAAATTTTCATCCTAATCAAATTAATACAATAAAAGATATTTTCTTTTCCTTTTCTTTTCTCTCACTTTACTTTCTATCATTTTCACTTTCCATAATTTATGTTTTTTATAATCAAATGAAACCTAAGAAAAGACACTTGGAAGGAGAGTTTCTAGTATTAATATACAAAAAAAAAAAAAAATACATATATAATAAATTAATATTAATAATAAAAACAAGAATTGGTAAAATCAAAAATATAATAGGAGTATACATGATTTTATGACTAAGATTATAATCTCTCCAAAATTATATAAAATTCAAATCCTAGTACAATTCAGATTGTTTGACCTGTCTGAGATGAGCATAATTTTGATATTGGAAGTCGAGCACAGCAAATAGCATAATAATAAGAGTAACTCAACTATCACATCCACAAGCACAAAATATTTTGAAGTAATTTGTGAGTTTTGTATCTTTGTATAAAAAGGAGGGACACACCTCAAATAAACTTCACCCATTGTTGACAAAGAGGTTGCACAATGACCAAGTTCACACTACAAACAACCAAGTCAAAATCCAGCAAATAATATATCAAATTGATACAAACAGAGGTGAATCCCATTATTGGATTACAAGATTTTCATAATCCTTCTCACTTAATCTTGTTTTGGTCATAAACTACCAAAAGCCTCAATAATTAATCACCTGACCATTTTCTACTCACTTGTATGACCATTAATCAAAAACTAAAATAGACCATACAAGATAACATTGGCATTTTAAGAGCCTTCTTTGGACCCTGTAATCCAACCAAATATTCTAACACTAATTCTTAAAAAAAAATTTAAAAAAAAAAGAATACATTTTTACATATATATGAATTCAAGGGGAAAACCATCCACCACATTGTATTGAGAAGACAAGAATAAGGTAAAGTGAAGATTAAAGACTTGGTCATCTTCAAAAAATCTCACAGAAATTTAAGTCATTGACAACCAGTGCAAGCACAAAGTACAAAGGAAATGTATATAATAGAACTAGTTTAAGTAGATTGAAACAGCAAGATGTAAAAATCAAAACTTATAGACATGTCTTTGTATTCAAGGCATCTTCAACAAGACAATCATCAAAAGCAACTCCCCAACTATCCATCAGGCTTTAAGCTAGCTCAGAAAACAAAACATGACAACCACTTTGTGTCCCAAAATTTCACCAAAACCTTCATTTCAGCAAATCCAAAATTCCATCATCTCCATTCCGAGCAAACAAACAACTAGTATACCAAAACCAAAACCAAAACCAAATATTTTTGGGTGTTTTCTATTCGAATAATGCATAAACAATCACACTCTAAAGTCAAAATTCCCCTAATGAATTTTGATGAACCAAAATAAATAATGGTTAAACTAAACCATCTATGTAGCCCCATTACAACAAACCCTAATTCCTAATCTAACATCACTATGCTAAATTAAAAATAAAGACGGAGAGAGAGAGAGAACTACTCACCACTATCCTACTCTATATCCACAGATTTCATTCACCACCACCATACCTCTGCCTTCTCATCTCTATTATCTTCCGGTGAGAATTTGAATGCATTACACTCGAAAATGTCGGACTGCTTGCCGGGCGGTACTCGGGCACAAGCCTCCCTGACTTGTACCGTACCCCACAAGCATTGCACAATGTTTTCGGCCCCATTGGACCCGCCCGCCATTGCGGTGTCTTGTCTGCCTGACAATGCTGGCACTTCCTCCCGATTGTACTACTTGGTGGTGGTGGTCCTTTGGGCAACCCTTTTTTGGCACTCTTCACCATATCTTGGCTCCATGACCACCACTGCTGACCCGGTAAGTCTGAAAACCCGCGCCGCCGCCTCCTGCTCCGCGCTTTACCGGGGTAAGGCGGAACCGGAACTAAAATGCTGCGTGCACAGCAGCTCGGAACAGTGGTGGCGCTGCTGTTGCTAGTGCTGGTGCTGGTGGTGCTGCTGTTTTCAAGCACCGATGCCGGGCTCTGGACAATGCCAGGGTTGTCTGAGAGGATGTCCAAGCAAGTCTCAACGGCCGGAAACGCATCTTTGTTGGACAACCATTCCAGTTCTTCCTCGGCAAACTCCTGATTGGGGAAACAAATTACTCAATGCCAAACCCCTTTAACACAGTGGGTTGACCCGTTGAGTCAACTCAGCTAAAATATCATACAAATAACAATACAGTAAGCTTAGGTATGTTTGAAAAAAAGGTCATGAGAATTTTAGTCAAACAAGGTAGTGTGTAATCTAAATTTATTTTAAATGTAGATCTCACTGGTTTTGATCATACAAATCAATCTGGACTACACACTAATTATTTTAGTACTGAATTTATTGATTGGGAAGTGGCTTTTTTTTTATTTTCCTGTTTTTTGGCTAAAATATAATGTGAAAAAAACCAAAATTGTTTGAAAAGGACTATCTGATTTTTTACGGGAAAAAGGGGCAAAGAGTAGAACGAATGAAAAAAAAAAAAATCTGACTTTTTGGTACGAATTGAATTTTTTTAGCTTCTTAGTTATTTTAGTAATTTTTTTGACTTTTTAATTAAAATGTTCAATTCCCAAACAGACCCACGCAACCCACAGTTTATTTGCTAAAAAAATCATTCTGTTAAAAAAAGAGTTTTAAGTCATTTAGCCTACTCATTTCTCAACAAAAAACCAACCTAGGCCTTGTTCGGGAACAGTCTTTTTTAATAATTTTTTGGTTTTTTAGTTAAAACATGATGTAAAAAAATTAATATGTTTGGAATGACTTTTTGATTTTTTATGAAAAGATGTGCAAAAAGTAAAGAGAAAAGAAAATCTTTAACTTTTTAATATAGGTTGTTGGCTTTTTATTTTTTTAATAACTTTTTGACTAAAAAAACAACTTGCCAACCGATTACGTTATAACCACTCTAAAAAGTCAATTGAAACGTCAAAAAATCTATCAATATGGGTGTTCTGAAATGATGGTTAAAAGTTGATTTTTTTGATTTTTTTAAACTTTTTTCACTGTTTTAAGTGAAAAGTGATGTGATCTAAAATAGATTAAAAGTTAACTTTTAAATTTTACCCTATGTTCCCAAAATGGAAAGTCTCTTTTAACATCAGCTTTTTTATCAGATTTCTTTTATTTATAGTCAATAAGCTAACTTTTTAGCAACATCTTAAAAAGGCCTTATATTAACTACATTTACCATCAAATTTTATTTATTATATAATACGACAAATTCATAACTGCTGAATATTATTGGGAACCCCTATTCACATGTGACATATCATATGGTAAGAAAATATGGCAATTTAACATTATTATACAAATAAAAAGTTCCCATACCCACATGGGGATAGGTCACTATTCCCATAAAACTACCCACCCACTTTTTGATGATTCATCCCACTAAAAACATCACCACTAATAGCACTAATGCCATTTACCATCAAATTTTATTTATTATATAATACGACAAATTCATAACTGCTGAATATTATTGGGAACCCCTATTCACATGTGACATATCATATGGTAAGAAAATATGGCAATTTAACATTATTATACAAATAAAAACTACCCATACCCACATGGGGATAGGTCACTATTCCCATAAAACTACCCACCCACTTTTTGAATAGGGTCAATTGTACTTTTTCTTTTCCCTTTTTTTTTTTTGTTTTTTATCAAGATTGCAGGATGCTTGCTCATTAGTAAAGTTACACTATAATTACAAGAGTCGCTGCTGCGTCAGTTCAAACTCCTAACATTCTCCTCACCAAATAAGAATACTTTGATCTTTGAAATTTTTTTCAATAAAATATTTTTATTCTTTATATCATGTGACCGTGTATGTGTTATTTTTTTATATAGTTTTTTTTTTAATATAGAAATTAGCTTAAATTGAAACGTGAATGGTGAAAATGTATATATACATATATCAAGCAGTCTCGTTTCACAATATTATTTTTTATTTTAAAAGTTAAAAAATTATTAAAAAATTAAAAAGTCTACCACTTATACTAAAAAATTAAATTTTTTTTTTTTTTTACTTTTTACACATCTTTTTGTAAAAAATTAAAAAATTATTCTAAACATATTTTTTTATATCATATTTTAGCTAAAATATTAAAAAATACTAAAAAAGCCTTGTTCCCAGGCTTAAAATAAAATAAAATAAAAAATAGCCAAATATAAACCGGACAAAAGTATAACTTAACGTTTTGAATAATGCTAATGTGTGATTTGTTGTAGAGGGGTATTATTGTCATTTCACGTAGAGACACAAAAGAGGTATGAGTTGTCAAATGGGAAAATGTCGACTAGGCGACAACTAAGAAATAAAGCCAAGGCTTTATGTTTGGCATGCTGTTTCGAACTAAATAGTCATAAAAAATAATAATAATAAATTAAAAATTAATAAAATAAAATGTTATATTTAAATAAAAAAAAATTATAAAATTACAAAATCTATCTCAAATAGTAAAGAATTTAAAAGTCAACACACAACCAAAGAAACATATTATCTCTCTCTTCACATGTTGGAGCCAAAAGATGAGGAATGCAAGTGTGTAACAGTTTCTAAGGTTTATATTAGCCTTATATAGGCTCCACTAGTGGGCTTAATTCTACTTAATTAACTTAGGCTATGTTTGAAAACTAAGTATTTTAATTAAAAAATTAAAAAATTATTATAAATTATCACATTATCTTCTTTATTTATTTGTAAATTTTTTCTTAAAAAATTTAAAAATTATTAAAATAATCTATTCTTAAAGGAGGCCTTGCTTGAATTGACTTACCTTTTTATATTTTTTATACGTTTTTCAAAAAAAAAACCCAATAAATTAATTTTTTTTCCACGTCCCATAAACAAGCTAACTACCCTTAGATTCCCAAAGGACAAAACTGTCCACGCATTAATTTTGAGTGGCAAAACACCCCACAATATTAAATCAATATCAAAACCGCCAGGGCCACCCAATGAAGAGAGCCCACCGACTCGGACCCGACTCAAAAAAATCATCCGAGTTGACACATAAGATTCCCGAGTAACACCGTGTTAGGCCCCAAACAACCCAGAATCGTCCGAGTCAAGCAGAAACTCGGACAGAGTTTGGGAAAATGATGGAAACAAAAAGGGGGATTTGAAGTACTTACAGTCAAAGAGAGGGTTTGATGATCATCTGGGTCTTGTTTGGATGACTCCAAAGAAGAAGAAGAAGAAGAAAGGGGTTTTAGGGTTTTGTTGTTGTTGTTTTCGTCATCATCGTCTTCATCTCCTGCGTCCAAAGTGAAGTTGAGAAGGTCATCAACCATGAAACGTGCACGTCTGTCCAGAGCAGCCTCCATTTTTCTTAGAAAATACAGAGAGAGAGAGAGAGAGAGAGAGAGATGAAAAGAAGGCGTGAAATGTTTAAAGGGTACGACCAAAAGGGTTTGGTTTAGAGAGGGAAAGAACGCCTGTTTAGAGAGAGAAAAAGAGAGGGGGTGTTTCTTCTCTTTTTCTTTTGGCTATATCATCAACAATGCCAAGAGGGCTTTGTTTGGCTAGCATTGCCATGTGGATTTTTTTTTAAAAATACTATAGGTCTTAGATAAATTATTAAATAAATTATCAAATTTGTTATATAGATATAAAATTTACATTTATGTAGATTTCACACTCATATAAAAGATTCAGTAATTTATTTAGAGTACTTAGCCTAACTCAATTTTTTTTTTTCTTTTAGAGTGTGCTCATTTTTCCTTTTTCTCCTTTTTCCTATTTCCTTTTTTAAACGTCTATTGTAGCATCTTTATTTCCTTTTTTATCATTTTTTATTAAATTAATAAAAAAATACTTTTTCATTAAATTAAAAATTTATCAAATCCTTCTTCAAAAATTATATTTGATGAAAAATTTTAAAAATAAAACATTAGAGATGATTTTTTTCCCATCAAATTAGATGAAAAGAAATTATAATCAGTGCGTTTGGTTTGAGTTTTTTGAATTAAATTTTTTGAAAATTTCATTTTTTAGTTTTCATACTTTTTTGTTTTTAGTAAATATTTTTAAAATTTAAAATATTTTTTTTACTTTTTTAGATGCACCTTACTTAGATGTATCTAAAAAGTAAAAAATTTGGGAAAAAATATTTTAAAATTTTAATAAATACATAAAAATACAAAAAAAATGTATTGAATTCTCTTATTTTTTTTTGTATTTTTGGTATCAGAGCTAAGTGATGTTGTATCCTGTTTATGACTGCTTTGCTGCTTCTAGTCAATCTTCTCTATTGTTTATTTGATTAATCTTGTTTTCAGTTCATCTTAATCACCCAAAAGATCAGTCTGTTTTATCCACCTAGTTTGAGTCACCCACTTTCGTCCCTGTCCTGAGTAAGTCCTTAGAGTTAAGCCGTGTTGGACTTAGGGGTCTTCCGAATAAGGTATGTATGTATACTAGGTATGAGATAAAACTGACAAGAATAGGGTATGTATTAAGATATCTGTCAAATTGATTAATTAAACAGAACAATGAGTCGATTATTTAGAAGTAACTCATCAGTGAGTTCTAAGTCAACAACTTTGCCCTCAATACCTAATCAAGAATTAGTAATTAATGAAGAAGATGTTGAAATACAAAATGATAAATTTGATGCTGGATGGAATATACCCAAATTGCCGATTAAAGAAATTTATAAAACTACTTTTTTACATAATGTTTTTAAAGTTGCTCTCCATGTTAAAACTATTGAACAAGTTTATGCTTTAGAAAAACCTAGGGAAACCTGCCAATTATTTGATAAAAAGTTAATCAAAAGACATTTAAATAATGGTTATAATTTTATGCATATTGGTTTAATTCAAGTTAGTGTAAACCATTAACGATGGTAGGCAAAAACACTTCTGTTTTATTATATTTAAGAGATGCTCGCTTTCTTAATTACACAAATACTCCAAACATAAACATAAATCATCATACAAATATCCTAGTAAATATAAAAAGAACTATTCACCTTCCAAATCAAATGATAAATACATAAAAATACAAAAAAAATATATTGAATTCTCGTATTTTTTTTTATATTTTTGGTATTTAGTGAATTTTTAAAAGGTTTTTTTCACAAATTTTTTTTATTTTTTAGGTATATTTATGTTAGATATGTCTAAAAAGTAAAAAAAAAAAATTGCTTAAAATATTTAAAAAATTCAATAAAAATAAAAAAAATATGAAAAATAAGAAAGTATAATTTTTTAAAAAGTGTTTTTGAAAAAACACAACCAAGCATGGTGATTGTTTTTTTTTTTTTTTTTAAATTGAAGAATTGGAGTAGTTCACTCTGTCCCAAAATATTGGATAAATTAATATAAATTGTTTCTTATGATTCTAAAAATTACATTTCATTTCTTGAGGTCTTTAATTTCGTAGCAAATCTCTCTTTTTATTAATAAATTATCAAGTTAATTAATAATTTTTAATGATATTAGAAATGTATTTCAATTAATAATTTAAGTAATTTTATTATTGTATAGAAGAGAAATTATGAATTTTATTTTCTTAGTTAATTTTGTTAAATAAAAAATTCTAAGAATGGGATATTTGTAATTTTTCAAATCACATGGGGCAATTTGTACTTTAAGTAAACCTCAGAAGTTGTATTCAAAAATACTAGAGACCCTAAAAATTTTATCAAAAATTTTACTAAATGTCTCACATGAGTGTGGAAGCCACATGAGACCCACATTGTGTGGGACCCACACCCATGTGAGGCATTTGGTAGAATTTTTGAGGTTTCTAGCATTACGCGATTGTATTTGTAATATATCCCAAAATATTAGTAGTCTCTTCTGGGAAATCTAATTTTTTTGAATAATACTATATGTATTAATTAATATACTAACTAGTATACTAACAGATGATGTAGCATAATTTTAGAAGTTTTGGGTATTTATAATTTGTATAATACGTGTGGTCAGTAATAATGACATAATACTAGTTGGTACACTAATGTGTACATTAATTGATACATGTTGCACCATCAAAAAAAATTTGGTAGTACAATTATTATTCTTTGAAAGTATTAAATTTCTAAGTGCTCATTTGGGAAGATAGGTTTGGTGTTTTTTTGGCTAAAATAGTCACAAAAAAAATAAAATAGATTTTTTAGTCTAATAAGACAAAATATCACATCCAACTTATAATCATTACATTATTTCTCTCACAAAATTCAAAAAGTCAAAAAATACATCCCAAACGAAATTTTTTAACCCCAGATTAAAATAGCTAAAAAACCGACCTACTTTCCAAACGAACCCTAAAACTATCATTTGACTTCTTTTGTTTTTAAGAGAAATGCCCCGTAGCTCGATATTTTAAGGCTCGAATGGCCCAACTCTCTCTCTCTCTCTCTCTCCATCTTTCTCTTTCTTCTCTATCTCTTCTCTGCTTTGGTCTTCTTCTTTCTGAGTAGTGATGGCGGTGCCGGAAAGGTTTGCGACGTTGGAGTCTGTATCTTATACACACATATGTATATGTTTGTGTATGCACAAATTCTCATCCCTCTCCCTGATCCTCTCTCTCTCTCTTTCTCTCTGGCCGATTTCACCTCCCATCACTCTCACCTCTCTTTCTTCTTCATCTTTCTAGATTGTTGGCCGATTGACAGTTTTCAACTGTGGCTGTGGGTTTGGTTTGGATTTTGGGATTTGATTTTGGATTTGATTTTAATTTTGGGTTTTGATTTTGTTTATTTGTGGCTCTAATGACCATTTCCACATGAGACCCCAAGTGGGTTTAATTCTGATGACTATTGTGACGGGTGATCTACTCCCAATTTCACGAATTTTGAGGTTGCTTCTTGAGTGTCTATTTCACATTTGATAGACACTAAATGTGGAATAGAGCTTCTGGGTTAGTTGGGTGTCTGTGTTAGAGCTTCTTGTATAGTTTTTAAGCTTCTGGGTTAGTTGATAAATGTGGAATAGAGCTTCTTGTTGTATAGTTGATAAATGTGGAATAGTTGAGTGTCTATGTTTCAAGTTGTTCTTTGGATTCTCGTGGATTAGATAGATAATTTGTTTAATAGTAATTTTAGTTTCTGGGTTAGAAGAGGGTGAGATTGAAGATGAGGAAGAAAGAAGAGAAGGAAGGAAGAAAGGAATAAAGGAAAGATTTTCGGAACGATTTTCAAAATTTGGTTTGGGTCTAAGAGGAAGGAAGGAAGAAGAGAGAGAAGAGGAGAGAAAAAGAAAGAAAGAAAAAAAAAAAGGTACCAAAAGGAGCCACTCGAACCAACTTATTTTCGAGCTACGTAGCGGAGTCGTTTTTTTAAACATCAATTGTCATAATTAATGAATTTAAAATAATGGTAAAATAGAAAATTTATTTTATTTTAGTCCTTAATTTTTGAAAAGAACCTAATATTAGGATAATAAAAAATGAAATAAATTATTAATATTTTGGAATGGATGAAGTAAATTTTTTCCGTCAAACTAGGCTTTTTTTTTATAATAATTTTTTGCCTCTTTCATAAGAAAAAAAAAAATTAATGTGTTTGAAATAATTTTTTAAAAGTAAAATAAATAGTTGTGAAGAAAAAAAGTGATTGATTATGTGACACTTTGCTAATTGGTTAAATTTGTTATTTTCTGACTTCTTTAATCAAAAAAATTTCTTTCCAAATGGGACAAAATAATAATAATAATAATAATTGTGCAGAATTGTAGATAATGATTGATTGTAAGATTTTTTTTTTTTTTAATGGGATTAAATACTATGGAATTATACTATGATATTTTTAATAAGATTGTAAGGGATAAATTATATTATGAGATTAGATTACATGAAAGATTTGATATATGATATAATTATAGGGGTGAGTAATAACAATGGGATAATAATAGAATTGTGGGGATAAGTAATATAATGGGATAATAGATGGAGAGCAAGATTGTCCAGTGTAAACATACACTCTCCTGCTGGTGAATCAGTTAAGTGGTCCCATTTTTCATTTCATAATGGACTAGTCAAAATAAACAACAATGATTCATCTCACTAAAAATATCACCACTAATAGCACTAATGCATTAAAAAAGTAAAAAAAAAAAAATACAACTCCAAGACCAAAACATCAGATCATTAATGGCGGGACCCACTGCCACCTAATTAGTGGGAGCACTGATTAGTGCTCCCAAGCATTTTTCCAAAATAAAAGGTGTGTGAATCAATTTATATTATTATTTTTAATTTCCTATTTTTCTCATCCCTCAAAAAACACATTACTTATAGTGTTATTTAATCCCTTATTTTTCACTATTTAATCTTTCATATTAGTATTAAAATTATACAAAATTTAGAATCATGTAAAATTATTCGAAATTTACGTAAAATAAATAGTGGATTAGACTATTCAATAAGACTTACATGTTCCTCACCTCACCTCTAATTTATTCGACAATCAAATATCCAACTATCAATCCAATGAGTCATATTTCTTCCACAGTGATGGAGCAAGTTTACTTGGTATCCCAAATTCATTT